TTTGGGGTTTAATGGAAGATGGATATGAAAGAAGAGTTGGATGGTCGGATAGAAAAAGACGGAGAGAAGAAGATGATGTTGATGGGTAAATGGAAAGTAAATGTTTTTTCTTTGAGAGTTCGGTGATGTTGAGCAAATATATTTATCTTTGCGATATATTTTGCGAGCTGTTAGCTGGTTAACTAGTTTTCTTCGCGATCATGCTAGTTTCATTCATTGTCCCCTTCGAGACAACGAGCACGAATAATAACATCGAGGCAGAGAATTAAAGAGATAAGACGAGAGTGTAAGAAGAGAGGATCGAATTAACGCGAGAGAATAAGCAAGGAAAAGCACTCGGATAATTATGAGTTGGCGGTGGAATGAAGGAGACGAAGAGGAATGGGCCTCGTCGACAATTAGAATAGCAAAGTACAACGTGTAAGCGCTGACGAAGGCTAATAAGTCGAATACCGTAAATCAAATCGTGAGATTAGCAATAGGAGTGGGGTGGGGTGGTGGTGGAATGTCTAAGATAGGCTCGCTTGAAAGGAGGAAGCGCAGATGAGGAGAGCACGATGAGTGAAAGTGGAAAGTGTTTGAGTAAATCGAAGGTTCAAAAGATAACTTGCCGAGCGAGCTCATGCAGAGCCTAATAAGATAAATTCTGCACGTGCGCTGCGCGCGTGTGTGCAGGAAACAGCGGATCGCTTAGATTAATGTAATTTCAGCATAAGACACTCCTGGCACGAGTGGCTGGATGCTCGGATTTACCTGCACGTTCAAATGCAAAAATTGTCGCGCGTGTGTCCCCGCGCGCTTATTCATGCGCTCCCGCAGCTCCGCGGACAGTATAAATTATTATTCGCGTTTGGGTGTGTACGCGCGTGCGTACGCACGCTTCATCGTACACCCCGGCGTTCTTGCAAGCACGAAGGGGTGAGGTCCCGACGCGTCGAGCGAGCGAGAGAGGGACAGTGTGAGTGTGAGAGAGAGAGAGAGAGAGAGAGAGAGAGAGAGAGAGAGTGTGTGTGTGTGTGTGTGTGCGCGCGCGCGCGTGAGAGTGTGAGAGGGAGGGGGGTGGTGGTGAAAGAGGTAGCGAGGGCGTCGGCGTCGGCGTCGGCGGCGAGGGGAGGGGGACACTTATTTCAGTGAGGCTAAGGCCGTGAACGGCCAAGCCGGGAGGGACGGCCCGAATCCTCTCCCGTGCCCCCGACTGCGCAAGCTCCGCATCATTGATTTAAAGCTTCACATGTACGCGCGGCTTGGTGCACACGTGCGAGCCAAGGCTTATGTAAAGGCCCGCGTGTACCGGCTCAACGCCGCAAGGCCGACGACGTCAGGACGCGCTGCAATCGCCGAAGATGGACGCGCCTGCGGCCAGGGGATAATGTTTCAATCAGAGCTACGCTCCCAGTCGCAGGAGCGAGAGGGAGAAAGGAGATTTCCGGGGCGCTCGGCTCCTCGGCTCTCTCACTGAATGTTGCAGTTGGCTCGGGAAGGAAGAGAGGACCGAATGGTTTTTCACGCTCCCAGTGGACTGCGAGCTCAATCGATGTAGGAAGGATGTAACGAGAGTTATCCGCTTAAACTCAATGGAATGGCATTTATTATTTGTGATTATGGCGCTTGTTAAACGCCCACTTACGAGGATTTGCTTTCCATAAAGCTAGATTAATATTTCAAAATAAACCACCCCCGCAGCTTTGACCTTTTAACATCAGCTCTTAGCGCCTATTTAATAGTTAAGCTTTTTTTGACGTTTGTGCAGTTACTATTAGCCCTCGTCACTCTCGTGTATTTTTACATTCACGATATTTTTATAGTAATACATGCATTAGTCCGGGCCATTCAATGTTAATGGATTGTCGAGTCACTGGAATTCGAAATAATTGTGTCATTATGGTATCGAGTAACGTGTTACATAATACGATAATCGAAAGTTTATTATAAAACGAGCGTGGAACATTATACATAATTAACAAATGCAGTCGTTCATCGGGGGACGGCTGCTGGAAAATAGAAGGGAAGTTTGTCATTCTTAGCAAAACCGTGGCA